GCCTCGCACGGGACACGGGCGGTGCGGGAGAAAGGCCTGAACTGCCACTGCTTCAGGGACACGCAAAGCCTGCCCGTGGGAGGGGCGACGTGGTCGGTGTTCTGGAAGTGGGGAGACCGAGAACGGGGCAGGCACAACCACAGAAAGAGGCCAAGAACTTTCCAGAATAATGGAGGGCGGAGAAGCCACAGATTCAACAACGGGAAAGTAGCTAGAAAACCCCCTACATTTGGAAACTAAGAAACTGAAATATCCCATCAGGTTAAAGAAAGAGTAACGGGAGAAAGCACAAATAAGGTAAACGGGGTGATGCCACCCATGCCAGCACGCAAGGGGCCTACGGCTTCCCGGCACTGCAGGTCCCGCTGCACTTCCCTCCCGGCGGTGAACGTGGTGGAGCCGGCCGGCGTGGCTCTGTGGCTGAGCGTCGACCTGTGAGCCAGGAGGTCAGGGTTTGATTCCCTGGCAGGGCACAGGCCCGGGTCATGGGCTCGACCCCCAGTGTGGGGCATGCAGGAGGCAGCCGATCCACAATTCCTTCTCATCATTGATGTTCTCTATCCCTCTCTCCCTCTCCCTTCCTCTCCAAAATCAATAAAAAATGTGTATTTTTTTTAAAAGTGTTTGATTGCATTCAACACCCCCTCGCAATGAGCAGAGCGTGAAGCCCGAGGAGCAGCCATCACAGCCACGGGAGAGCTAAGACCGAGGGACGACGACCTGGAGGGCAGCAGCTGGTGGCTGGGCCCTGGTGCCGCCACGTCAGGAACCGGCCATTTCTCACGGAGCCAACACCACCTGCCGGCCGCCGGCCAGCTGTTCTGGAGAAGAGAGAGGACACAGTCCCGCAGCCTGTACCCCGTGGTCCCAGCAGTTTGAACACAACAGCCCGACCTGGAAGCAGCCCAAATGCCCACCCCCACCCCCGCAGGTTTAAACGGAGCTCGGGGGGCGCCTTCAGCGGCCACAGTGGCCGCAGGACGAGGCCAGGCCCGGAGCTGAAGTCCTGGAACTGGGGGGTGGGGGAGACACACACCTGCAGGGGTGCTGAGCCGATGCAGAGCTCTGGCTGGTGGGGTGGCCGCTGGGCACCCAGCTGTCACAGTGCATTTCCAGCTGAAGAGCTGAGTGGAAACCGAACCTCTGTGACGCCCTCAGACAGGCCAAGGGACGGACAAGGAGGCCCCAGGGGAGCGCGGGAGCACCAGGCTGGTGTGGCTCAGTGAGCGTCGCCCCGCGCACCAAAACGGTGCAGGTTTGGCTGCTGGTCAGGGTACATGCCTACGTGGCGGGTTCGATCCCTGTCGGGGCACAAGCAGGAGGCAACTGATGGGTCTTTCTCTCCCAAATCAGTGTTTCTCTCTCTCTTTCTCCCTTACTCTCTCTCTTAAAAAATCAATAAAATCATATATATTTTTTTAAACGTAGCTCTGGCCCTAGCTGGTGTGGCTCAGTGGACAGAGCGTCAGCCTGCGGACTGAAGGGTCCCAGATTCAACCGGTCAAGGGCACATGCCCAGGTTGTGGGCTCGATCCCCACTAGAGGGTGTGCAGGAGGCAGCTGATCAATGATTCTCATCACCGATGTTCCTATCTCTCCCTTCCTCTCTGAAATCAATAAAAAAAATATATTTTAAAAAATGTGGGGAACAGTAGCATGTGAAGAGATGTGCAAGCCCAGAAACTAACAATCTACACGGGAACCTCAGCAGGGGAAGTGCAACGGTCTATCCAAGGTGACCAGACTC